ACCTTGATACTGCACCATGGTATTACTACTCATATTACTGCATGCTCAAAAATACAAATGTTGTGGATTTTCCATCTAGTGCTTAATAACCTGGCTTGAATGATATGCTTTAATACTTTTTTAATGTATTTTTAAAGATTATTTTGGCTATAAAAGAGCAGCTCACAGAACAATATTGTATCGGAGGATTTAACAGATACAAATAATATTATAATATTGCAAATACACTGTTTTGTGACCATGAGATTTGTACATTAAGCCACATATGAGGAGACGAGTCACTTTATGATATTATGTGAATACACTTTAATATAGCATCATAAATCTGTGGCCGACTGGATGAGCTTCAGTATCTTCAGTTCATCTGTGGATGTGGAGGATGTTGAGACATCATGAAGTTGTGTGTGTGTGTCGGGGCGGGACGTTAAGTACGGGTTTAATCTTGTTCTGATTACACAGTCATTACAAGCGGGTTGGCAGCGTTGGTGAAACCAGCAACTCTCATTTCCACTAATCTGATTTAAGGCATAAATGCCAGCCATGCCAAACGGCTGCTATGGCAACAGTGCCAGCCATAACAACCGGCTGCTATGGCAACAGTGCCAGCCATAACAACCGGCTGCTATGGCAACAGTGCCAGCCATAACAACCGGCTGCTATTGCAACAGTCCCAGCCATAACAACCGGCTGCTATTGCAACAGTGCCAGCCATAACAACCGGCTGCTATGGCAACAGTGCCAGCCAAGCCAACCAGCTGCTATTGCAACAGTGCCAGCCATAACAACCGGCTGCTATGGCAACAGTGCCAGCCAAGCCAACCAGCTGCTATGGCAACAGTGCCAGCCATAACAACCGGCTGCTATGGCAACAGTGCCAGCCATAACAACCGGCTGCTATGGCAACAGTGCCAGCCATAACAACCGGCTGCTATTGCAACAGTCCCAGCCATAACAACCGGCTGCTATTGCAACAGTGCCAGCCATAACAACCGGCTGCTATGGCAACAGTGCCAGCCAAGCCAACCAGCTGCTATTGCAACAGTGCCAGCCATAACAACCGGCTGCTATGGCAACAGTGCCAGCCAAGCCAACCAGCTGCTATTGCAACAGTGCCAGCCATAACAACCGGCTGCTATGGCAACAGTGCCAGCCATAACAACCGGCTGCTATGGCAACAGTGCCACCCATGCCAACTGGTTGTTATGGTAACAATGCCAAATGTAAACATAACAAAGACAGTTTGGCAGCCTTTCGTTTCTAGTTCCCTGTTTTTTCTGATGCCTTTTGCACACTTTGTCAACTTGATAGAAGAGGTTTGCACAGTTTAAACGTGCCTTATGTAAGAGCATGTAACATATGTAAGAAGGACACTGTAAAATAAAGTGTTACCAAAACATGTTATTTTATTTAAAAAGCAGAGGCTCTGTTCTTTTTTTGTTTTGATGTATTGCATGTTCAGATATTCACACAGCAAAATATTCTGGACGGCATGACATTTTCGTGAAATGAAATAAATAAATGCTGGTGCTTGCTGGTAACTTTTTTTCAAAAACGCTGGTGGGGAAAGAGTTAAGAATCATATTAAAAATATTAGTCGCACACAATGACCTGATAGGATAAGCCCTGTGCTTCTGATGAATTATGAAGTCTTTTGAGTGCATTACCCGGCCCTATATCAGGTTGCCTACTGATCCAACGGGTCATCCGAGGTCATTCCCACATGACCGACTCTCATCCGCAAGCTTTAGCGTAGCATTGGGCGCGATACCGGTTCATACCCATACCAGTGTGTATTTCTGTTATGATAGGAATTTATAATATTCCGCAATATCAGTGTATGTCGCTTAATGTCTCAGTCAGTCTCTTTAACATCATATGACTTCACTTAATTAATAATCAGTAAGAATATTCAATATACTCACATGACACTTGCATACTGCCACTTTTTTGTAGCAACCTGTTGCAAAAACAAATAAAATCTTTTTTTTTCATATCTATATTTATTCGTAAATTATTTCTTCTTGTGTTTGTATTTTGAAATTAATTGCACTGTCCATGCAGCAGACACTGTAAAAAAAAAATATTGTTGGTTTAACTTAAAGTAAGTAACCTGGTTGCCTTAAAATATTAAGTTCATTGAACTGGAAAAAGTTAATACAATGAAGGAGAATGATTTAATCATCAGAAACTCAAAATTATATGTTATCTGAACTAAATAGATTATTTAAGTTGATTTGACAAAAGAAAAAATGTTATTGTTGGTTTAACTTAAAAAAGTAAGTAGCCTGCTTGCCTTTAATTTTAAGTTGATTGAACTGGAAAAAGTGAGTTAATACAATGAAGGAGATTAATTTAATAATCAGAAACTCAAAATTATATGTTATCTGAACTAAATAAATTATTTAAGTTGATTTGACAAAAGAAAATATGTTGTGATAACAAATCTTGAAAATATTATACATACAGGTGAAACTCGAAATGTTGGAATATGGTTCAAAAGTTTATTTATTTCACTAATTCAACTTAAAAGGTGAAACTAATATATTATATAGACTCATTACATGCAAAGTGAGATATTTCAAGCCTTAGTTTGTTATAATAGTTTACAGATATTAAAACCTTTTCACAATATTCTAATTTTGAATTTGGGGTTTTCATAAACTGTAAGCCGTGATCATCAAAATTATAACAAATAAAGGCTTGAAATATCTCACTTTGCATGTAATGAGTCTATAAAATATATTAGTTTCACCTTTTAAGTTGAATTACTGAAATAAATGAACTTTTGCACCATATTCTAATTTTCTAAGTGTGTTTGTGACACATAAAAATACCATCTTAAGTAGGCCTACCGTTGGGATCGGGCAGATCTCTTTGTAAACCGCATCATTTTATGGGGCCTTACAAACCTGTATTAATAGTGTGAAATGTTTATTCACTCATGACGGTAAAATAGGGCAAACGACTGCAGTTTCTCCTCTCTCAATCAGTAGAAAATGTGTTTAACTCACCTAATCATGGCTAAAAAACACCATCATTTTGAATAATACTGTGACATAAATGTTTGCTCATCCCACCCAGCACTACGCTAGTGTCGGTCCACGGGTCTGTTCATTCAAGAGCAGAGGTGAAGCCAGAGCGCATTATAATGCACAGCATCACTGATAACTCACTGGAGGAAAGATGGAGAAGAACGTGGGAGTGCCGGCGAGAATGTGTAAGAGAGAAGAAGGGAGGGGAAGCCGACGGGCCGAAAAGGAGGAATGCCGCGTTAGGAATTCCAAACAGCTCCTTAATCCGAGTGCCGACGGAAACGCATTTGCTGAAGCTTTTATCCCACCGTAGCGCAAGACCAACGCACAAAGCAGAGGTCGAGAGGTCAAGAGCCTGAACGGGGACTTCTGAGAGCTACGTGAACACGGCATTAAGAAGATAAATCTCTGCAACCCTTTTAAACGCCATGGTGTCTCAAGCTAACCAACATTTTTTATTATTAACCCTTGTGCATCCTTATGGACATTTTTGTCCTTTTCAGTTTTGTTTTTTTGATCACTTTGCCTGTGTTAAAGCTAACTGCAAAAAACTTGGCACAGGTGTTTATTTTTATTGGAATTTTACTATTTCACCGTCATTTAAAAAAAACAAAAAAAAAAAATTTTTTTGCATTAGGTACAAAAAATACTCCCTCTCAGCACCTTTTGGACAAAAATGTCTCCATTAAAACTGGCATTTTTAATCCCCGGTTCAGTTAACTATAAAATTATGCAATCTTTTTTAAGAGGCTTTTATTCTGATGGCAAGGCTTCAAAATTTTATTTTTACTGTTTTTTTATCAGATGGTGTCTTTTTTTTTTTTTAAGTTTGGCCTATAAAACAAATATCGCTTTGTTCCTGTTTTCTGGTTCGGCATATTATAGAGCCAACTGGATAAATTATGCAACAATATTTGTGTGGGTGTGTTGGTATGGATGTCAGAGTGTGGTTAGTATGTGTGTTATAAAATGAATATGTGTGTGTTTGTAATACTGAGAGAGAAAAACTGCAAATTCAAATCCAATCACTGTGAGCTCCAGTGGGGTTTTGCTGCCACCCAATGGGGAAAATATGTTACTGCGCCCAAACAAACTGTTACCAAAAGCTCATTTTTTTTGAGATATCATCCTCAAATTTGGAACACAACCTATTTAGATTTATGGCTTTGATTTTATTGCAGTTTTGAGTTCAACCTGATTTATAAAATGTATATTTTATATAAAATATTTTTTATAAATAATTTTCATAAAATTATACCTATATAACTTTTTTTTGGATTTACTTATTTTTATTTTTTTTTTTACTTCAGCAATAATCTGCAAAGGGTCTTCTTTAAAATGATACCAAACTTAAGTCTGTGCTCCGAAGTGTCACATTTTTATGACAGTTTTTTGTCTTTTTACCTATGTGTAACTTTTTTTAATTGATGCACAAGGGTTAAAGCAAAACACAGATAAATGTGATGCATTTGAGGTTCTCTCAACTATTGTCTTAAACAGCGTCACTACTTTTCAAGTAGTTTGTTCATAATAAAGCACATTCAGCCAATAAATTCATCTTATTCACAATACATTGATAATAGCTATGTTTAGCTGTATAGGGCTGTAGTTTCAGGTTTCAGAAGGCACAACAAAGCACAGATATCTGGGATTTATTTTCAGTTTCAGAAGCTTGTACCTCAAAAAATCCTATAACCGCATAATTTATTCATGCATGCAGGAAAACTCTCTTCAGCAGTGTTACTCATCTGTGTTTGACTCATTTCTGTTGCTTTTATGTTTTTCGTCCCTTAAACTGGAAAATGTATTGTTTGTTTTACAGAGCATGTGTGTTTTCAGGCCGTCTGTGTGAGATGTGATGAGCACTAACTGATTTTCCATGTGAATAGGATGTGCACCTCCTGTTTTCTCGTGCCAGGATGTTTTCGGGACGGTTCTTAATATACTCTTCCTCCTTTTCCTCGTCAGGTACGACTATAAAGAAATGCTGCATAACTCTACGTTTTGTCTCGTGCCGAGAGGACGGCGCCTGGGCTCTTTCCGCTTCCTGGAGGCTCTGCAGGTATACTCGCTGTTTTGGGTTTATCATGGAATATTGCAGTATTTATTATAAAAATGACAGTTTCTTCCTATTGAGATGCTAGTTTAACCCTTTAGGTGCCACCCCCCCCCCCTTTTTTTATATAAATCGTTATTATTCAAGAATGCGTTGGCATATAGACATAAGATTGGCAGTTGTTTGTATAAGTGAAATAAAAAAAAAGTTTAGGTAAAAAATTTAATTATTCGTATTTTATATAAAATATATTTTTTCAAAACCTGGGCAACTCTAAAACTGCAAAACAATCAAAGCCAAAAATCTGAACGACTTGTGCTTCAAATTTTAGTTTGATATTTTAAAAAATGAGCTTTCAGTGCGAGTGTGCGCAGTACCGAACGCTTCCACTAGGGCACAACTAGACTCCATCACTGCCCATATAAGGGCGCCCCCATTTCCATATGTTTGAACCATTATTTTCATACAATTTATGAAGTAGACATCCTATTTAGAAGTAGTATGAGAAGTTTGGCAGGTTTTAATATAAATTCAACCTCTAAGAAACATCAAAAACAAGAAAAATAGCACACATGTTCATTAGCTCGCTGCCACATCACAAATGGTGAATCATCATTTTTTTCTTTATATTTGAAACATTTTCAGACCTTTTTTTCTAAAATAATTGAATGGATGCTATCTTTTGAACTCTTGGCATGAAAACAAACATGATCTTTTTTTTCATGATTTTGCATCGCTATTTCAAAATAAAGGTCTGAACACGCCTCAGGAGTGTGAAAATATTCTTGTTGCAAATTGATAAATTACTGCTGCCCTGTAATTTATGTTGAGAATCAGTCACCAAATATGGAAACTAGAGATTGTAAGCTTGTTAAATTATATATAGTTTGTCAGTTTAGTATAGGATATTATTAGTTTTAAAAATGTAAAGGGTCGGTGACACTTTGGGGAAAAGGCTTGATCTACAATACATCATTCATATGTAGACATTCATACAAACATATTAGTTTTAATTCTCCATTTCTAAAGTGAAACGCAGTAGTGTGGATGGGGCTCAGTTTGGACTGAAGACCAGAACGGGAGGGAGAGAGAGAGAGAGAGAGAGAGAGAGAGAGAGAATACACCTTTATCCGTAACCAGCACTATTCTGTGAAGCTCATGCCCGTGTAATAGCTATTGTGTGGCTGTGCTCTTTCAGGTTGTCTGGCGTTGTGCAGATATGAGGCTTAACAGGCCATTATATATTGAGTTTTGAATTGTGTGGGAGTTTAGGGTTGCCTGACGGAGGGTTTTGATGCCCGTGTGTGTGTGTGTGTGTTGGAGCTCACGCCGGCTTTAGCTCTCGGTATTGGTCTGTATGTATTTCAGCAGATTGAAGCGCTGGTTAATGACACTGCAAGGATTAGTCCATAACAGCAGGATGATATTAGAGATGAAGGAGGTCAGATGAGGAGCAGATTAACAGATTAAGGACAGGACAACAGGCCAGTGCAAAATACACACACAGTTATGATGGGAAACAGTGGATTTTGTCTTATTGTCTGAGAATGATGTTATGTTAAAACTCTGAATTGAGTGCTGAATATTACCACTTTTATATACTATGGTACATGTTTAAAAAAACATACTATTGGACATGGTTATTGTAGTATGATTTATGTAATTCATATATAATTTATATATATATTATAGTTATAATTTATATAATTTTTATTACAGTTTTTGTTATGTTGTTATGTTATTTTATTATTTATTTATATATATTTCGTTTTTTAGTAATCTTAGTTAAACTTATTTCTGTATATATATATATATATATAAATCTTATTTATATATAATATAGGCCTAGTATTTTTATGTTAAATGCATATATATATATATATATTTATATATATATGCATTTAATATAAAAATACTAGGCCTATATTATATATAAATAAGATTTTTTTTTACCTTTATTTAACCAGGAAAATCTATGTATATGTGTATATATATATATATATATATATATATATATATATATATATATATATATATATATACAGTATATATTATATATAATTATATATATATATATATACTATATATATATATATTATATATAATTATTTATATATATATATATATATATATATATATATATATACATATATATTGTATATACTATATTTATATTATATATAATCTATATAATATATATATATATATATATATATATATATATATATATGCATTTAATATAAAAATATAGGCCTATATTATATATAAATAATTATTTATTTTATATAATAACAATAATATACAGCCCTATGTATGTAATACATAATGTATAAATAAAATTTAATAAATAAATGTTTCTAATATATAAAATATATTACAAACACATAAACATACATTATATATATATATATATATATATATATATATATTTGTGTATTTATAGCCTAGAATTTCTTTATAAATATATTTTTATATTTGTACTGTCTGCCAGGCTCTGTTTGTTGATTATGTGACGTCCTCTTTGATTGTTGTGACCCGTGAGGCTTCGGTTCAGACGGGCAGAGTCACGCTTTGTGTTTCGCTCCGTCGCTGCCAGATTTCTCAGAGCTCGGAAACACGACTGATCTGATAAACACACACGGTTCTTCAGGCACAGCTTCTCTGGGTTTCAGACTTTCCAGTCCAAGAAGCTAATAAAAGTTTCATGACTCTTGCTTTATTTCTCTTCAGCCTGTTTTAACTTGTCTCTCTCTCTCTCAGGCCGCTTGTGTGCCCGTCATGCTCAGTAACGGCTGGGAGCTTCCCTTCTCAGAGATCATCGACTGGCGTACGGCTGCCGTCATTGGGGACGAGAGACTTCTTCTACAGGTAATATATCAGGACTAGAGAGCAGCTCATGCGTTCTGTCAACACTCAAACACTGAAGTCACTGAAACTGCAATTTATCGACTGGCACACACAACAACATCCCCTTAGCAACCACATAGCAACTAATCAGGTGCCGTTAGTCCCTCCCCTTCCGGTCGACCACCATGGGACCTTATTTCGGAAAAATATTGAATGGTAGTCAATGGCGAGAGACGAGAAATATTTTGATCTGGTTTGAATTGTGCCCTGAATTACACATATGATGTTTGTCAATTTAAAAGATAAATTTTAAAGTAACAAAAGTTGCAGTTTGATGTAAAACCGTTGAGGTATAAGACTGTGAAAATACGTAATTACAAAGACTACAAACCCCAAAGGCGCACATTTTCTCTCAATGAATGAAGCTAACTTTACTGAGGCTGTCTGTTATTGTTTCTACAGTCTTACGTTATAATCGTAACGTTACGCCGTCATGCCTGAGTGTGTTGTACCAGACTGCACACACACGAGCAGCGGATCTCGTTTCGCTTCCTGGGAGATGTAGTTCATTGAGCGATTTTCACATAAAACTAAATGTTACTCTTCTGTTTTATGACAAACTGCGACGTTTTTGACTTTCAGAATTATCTTTAATTGACAAACATCATATGTGTAATTGAGGGCACAGTTCAGACGGAATAAAAAGATAAGTTGTCTCTCGCCATTGACTACCACTCATATTTTTTCCGAAATAAGCTCCCATGAGCCGGAAGCGGAGGGGCGGGACTTAGGCTCTCTATAGTTCACTCAATCAATCACCCAAGCACTAGCCTGAAATTACATTTCACTTTTTGGGGTGAACTCTTCCTTTACTCTCGAAACTTCCTTTACTTGCGTTTTCAGTAACCCAGTAATCCCAGTTCCTCTGAGTTATTTTAACTGGTGCCTGTCGAGTAACGTTAACTGCTCGCCTCTCTTCCCAGATCCCATCGACGGTTCGCTCCATCCATCAAGACCGCATTCTGTCTCTCCGCCAGCAGACGCAGTTCCTGTGGGAAGCGTACTTCTCTTCGGTGGAGAAGATCGTGCTCACTACATTAGAGGTGAACATCTTTCACTGCATTACAGACATGATCGGATGAACCTGCCCGGCTCATAATTTACCCTAAAGACAAACTGCACAAAACGAGGCTCATCAAGATTTTTGCATTTTGATTATTTTCATGATTATTGAGCACAGTTCTCATTACTGTAATGCATCCGGAATCAGATGTAATTATGGGTTTGTTTGTAATTCTCATCATTTTATTTAATGAGAATGCCATAATGAGAATCATCCAGGCAAAATGAGCATAAATATGCTCATTATGTATAAAAATCAGTCACAGATGCCATAATGAGAAGTATACATTTCCCCTCACATAATGTTACAATGCAAAAAAAAAAATAAAAAAGCTTAACCCTTGTGCATCTTTATGGACATTTTTGTCCTTTTCAGTTTTGTTTTTTTGATCACTTTGCCTGTGTTAAAGCTAACTGCAAAAAACTTGGCACAGGTGTGTATTTTTATTGAAATGTTACTATTTCACCGTCATTTTCTTAAAAAAATATTTTTTGCATTAGGTACAAAAAATACTCCCTCTCAGCACCTTTTGGACAAAAATGTCCCCATTAAAACTGCCATTTTTAATCCCCGGTTCAGTTAACTATAAAATTATGCAATCTTTGTTAAGAGGCTTTCATTCTGATGGCAAGGCTTCAAAATTTTATTTTTTACTATTTTTTTATCAGATGGTGCAATTTTTTTTAAATTTGGCCTATAAAACAAATATCGCTTTATTCCTGTTTTCTGGTTCGGCATATTATAGAGCCAACTGGATAAATTATGCAACAATATTTGTGTGGGTGTGTTGGTATGGATGTCAGAGTGTGGTTAGTATGTGTGTTATAAAATAAATATGTGTGTGTTTGTAATACTGAGAGAGAAAAACTGCAAATTCAAATCCAATCACTGTGAGCTCCAGTGGGGTTTTGCTGCCACCCAATGGGGAAAATATGTTACTACGCCCAAACAAACTGTTACCGAAAGCTCATTTTTTTGAGATATCATCCTCAAATTTGGAACACAACCTATTTAGATTTATGGCTTTGATTTTATTGCAGTTTTGAGTTCAACCTGATTTATAAAATATAATTTTTATATAAAAGTATTTTTTATAAATAATTTTCATAAACTTATACCTATATAACTTTTTGATTTACTTATTATTATTTTTTTACTTCAGCAATAATCTGCAAAGGGTCTTCTTTAAAATGAGTCTGTGCTCCAAAGCGTCACATTTTTATGACGGTTTTTTTTTGTCCTCTTTTTATCTTTTTAACTTTTTTTAATTGATGCACAAGGGTTAATTTTCTTTCAAATGGGAAAATATTTTTTTTTCGGGTGGCTTTTGCACAAATTATCATTTTTTATTTGTGCAAAAAAAATGCACAAATTCTTTTACCATCCCAATAGAATGAATTGCATGTGATCAGTAATTTCGGGAGCTATTCCTGAATGAAACGGAGCTCCATCTGGCCGGTCTCAGGCTCTGGTTTCACACACTTGTCCCTGGAGGAAGTGTTGTAGTTCTGAGATGTGCTGGATTGCTGTCGGTGTGTAAGCGGACACCCGGGTCAGGTCTCGAAGGGTGGATCTGTGATACCGAGCATTAATATGTGTCCGAATAAACATGGCTTTGGTCCAGCTTCCCTCATGTTTATGAAACATATGCTCTTTAAACGCTCATGAAATTTGAGCCTTGTTAATGTTTGTCATGCGATGCTGTGACAAAAGCATAAAAAGCATCTTTACCATTACATGTTAATCAGAGGCTGCAACCGAATCGCATGCTTTTCTAGTCAATAATAATAATAATAATAAAACTTTATTTTATATAGTGCCTTTAAAAGTATTATCTCAAAGCACTTTACATAAAAAATAATGGAATTAGAAAGATACACAACAGTCTAGGCAATAAAAACGAAACAAGCAATAAAATAAAAGGCAAATATAATAACAATCACAGCAGTGATCACACAATCACATAAAAGCCACCCTAAAAAAGTACGTTTTAAGGGAGGATTTAAAAACTCTAAGGGATTCTGCATTCCTAATCTCAAGTCTCAAATCTCAAAATAGTCAAGTCACCCTTAGTGCTTTTTATAATAGATCGTTTCAAAGCAGCTTTACAGTGAGAACAGGAAAATAATGCAACAAAGTTTGTTTCGGCTGTACAGCAGATCTAGAAGAAAATAGCGTCACACTCCAGCTGAAGTTCAGTGATGGTTCATTTTTGTTGTAAAAAAAGTGAATAATTGAGTTAATTTATATATATAGCCGCTCTGGAGAAATCGTCTAGCTCAGTTCATTTCTCAATGCTGGCAGATCAATAATATTGTTGAATATTAAGGAATATCTACCTACTATATAGTAGTCGAAAAACAGTAAGTGAGAAGAGTCCGAATTCACAGGACTCTTAAAAGAGTAGCTAATTACCGATTTCTTCCGGCGAGATTCTCAAGTGTGCATACAATGGACAGCGACGATGGATAATTCATCTTAGATCTTAAAAAAAAAATTAAAGCAAACAAGAACTGTAAACAAACAATTGTATTCTATGACTGTATCTGTGATTCAGTGTGTATTTTCAATAATGTTTAAATTAATATTTATGATTCTGATTATGTGCTTATTGATTTGGTTGTGAGTGCAGTGAGCTTGTAGAGAGACTCCGCCCACACTATCTTCTGATTGGCTGTGATTTTTTGATTGATTTGGTGCAGTGCAGTGCACTTGCAGAAAGACTCCGCCCACACGCTCTTCTGATTGGCTGTGATTTTTGATTGATTTTGTCTGGTGTGGACCGACAAATTGCTTGTTGCTGGAGATTTGTTGCATCACGTCTGGTTTGGACACGGTGTAATAGCTCTAATGAACAACAGTGATTCAGAGAAGTCATTAAAATTGGATCAGAACATCTTGTAACTTTCCAAACTCTTTCTGGATGTCCTCTTCAGATCATCCAGGATCGTGTGTTTCAGCACAACGGCCGCAGCACGCTAATGTGGAACCGGCTGCCGGGAGGACTCTTCACCCTGCCACAATACTCCTCATATCTGGGCGACTTCCCCTTCTTCTACGCCGAACTCGGTAAGTGTGACTGAACACACACTGGCGTCTCCTGCTACAGTAGCCACGCCCCAAACCCTCTCCTGCTACAGTAGCCACGCCCCAAACCCTCTCCTGCTACAGTAGCCACGCCCCAAACCCTCTCCTGCTACAGTAGCCACGCCCCAAACCCTCTCCTGCTACAGTAGCCACGCCCCAAACTCTCTCCTGTTACAGTAGCCACTCCCCAAACTCTCTCCTGCTACAGTAGCCACGCCCCAAACCCTCTCCTGCTACAGTAGCCACGCCCCAAACTCTCTCCTGTTACAGTAGCCACTCCCCAAACTCTCTCCTGCTACAGTAGCCACGCCCCAAACTCTCTCCTGCTACAGTAGCCACGCCCCAAACTCTCTCCTGCTACAGTAGCCACGCCCCAAACTCTCTCCTGCTACAGTAGCCACGCCCCAAACTCTCTCCTGCTACAGTAGCCACGCCCCAAACTCTCTCCTGTTACAGTAGCCACGTCCCAAACTCTCTCCTGCTACAGTAGCCACGCCCCAAACTCTCTCCTGCTACAGTAGCCACGCCCCAAACTCTCTCCTGCTACAGTAGCCACTCCCCAAACTCTCTCCTGCTACAGTAGCCACGCCCTAAACTCTCTCCTGCTACAGTAGCCACTCCCCAAACTCTCTCCTGTTACAGTAGCCACGCCCCAAACTCTCTCCTGCTACAGTAGCCACACCCCTATCTCTCTCCTGTTACAGTAGCCACGCCCCAAACTCTCTCCTGCTACAGTAGCCACGCCCCAAACTCTCTCCTGCTACAGTAGCCACTCCCCAAACTCTCTCCTGCTACAGTAGCCACGCCCCAAACTCTCTCCTGCTACAGTAGCCACTCCCCAAACTCTCTCCTGCTACAGTAGCCACGCCCCAAACCCTCTCCTGCTACAGTAGCCACGCCCCAAACTCTCTCCTGTTACAGTAGCCACTCCCCAAACTCTCTCCTGCTACAGTAGCCACGCCCCAAACCCTCTCCTGCTACAGTAGCCACGCCCCAAACTCTCTCCTGTTACAGTAGCCACTCCCCAAACTCTCTCCTGCTACAGTAGCCACGCCCCAAACTCTCTCCTGCTACAGTAGCCACGCCCCAAACTCTCTCCTGCTACAGTAGCCACGCCCCAAACTCTCTCCTGCTACAGTAGCCACGCCCCAAACTCTCTCCTGCTACAGTAGCCACGCCCCAAACTCTCTCCTGTTACAGTAGCCACGTCCCAAACTCTCTCCTGCTACAGTAGCCACGCCCCAAACTCTCTCCTGCTACAGTAGCCACGCCCCAAACTCTCTCCTGCTACAGTAGCCACTCCCCAAACTCTCTCCTGCTACAGTAGCCACGCCCTAAACTCTCTCCTGCTACAGTAGCCACTCCCCAAACTCTCTCCTGTTACAGTAGCCACGCCCCAAACTCTCTCCTGCTACAGTAGCCACACCCCTATCTCTCTCCTGTTACAGTAGCCACGCCCCAAACTCTCTCCTGCTACAGTAGCCACGCCCCAAACTCTCTCCTGCTACAGTAGCCACTCCCCAAACTCTCTCCTGCTACAGTAGCCACGCCCCAAACCCTCTCCTGCTACAGTAGCCACGCCCCAAACTCTCTCCTGTTACAGTAGCCACTCCCCAAACTCTCTCCTGCTACAGTAGCCACGCCCCAAACTCTCTCCTGCTACAGTAGCCACGCCCCAAACTCTCTCCTGCTACAGTAGCCACGCCCCAAACTCTCTCCTGCTACAGTAGCCACGCCCCAAACTCTCTCCTGCTACAGTAGCCACGCCCCAAACTCTCTCCTGCTACAGTAGCCACGTCCCAAACTCTCTCCTGCTACAGTAGCCACGCCCCAAACTCTCTCCTGCTACAGTAGCCACTCCCCAAACTCACTCCTGCTACAGTAGCCACTCCCCAAACTCTCTCCTGCTACAGTAGCCACGCCCTAAACTCTCTCCTGCTACAGTAGCCACTCCCCAAACTCTCTCCTGTTACAGTAGCCACGCCCCAAACTCTCTCCTGCTACAGTAGCCACACCCCTATCTCTCTCCTGTTACAGTAGCCACGCCCCAAACTCTCTCCTGCTACAGTAGCCACTCCCCAAACTCTCTCCTGCTACAGTAGCCACTCCCCAAACTCTCTCCTGTTACAGTAGCCACGCCCCAAACTCTCTCCTGTTACAGTAGCCACACCCCAAACTCTCTCCTGTTACAGTAGCCACGCCCCAAACTCTCTCCTGCTACAGTAGCCACGCCCCAAACTCTCTCCTGCTACAGTAGCCAGTCCCCAAACTCTCTCCGGTTACAGTAGCCACGCCCCAAACTCTCTCCTGCTACAGTAGCCACACCCCTATCTCTCTCCTGTTACAGTAGCCACGCCCCAAACTCTCTCCTGCTACAGTAGCCACGCCCCAAACTCTCTCCTGTTACAGTAGCCACACCCCAAACTCTCTCCTGTTACAGTAGCCACGCCCCAAACCCTCTCCTGCTACAGTAGCCACGCCCCAAACTCTCTCCTGTTACAGTAGCCACGCCCCAATCTCTCTCCTGCTACAGTAGCCACGCCCCAAACTCTCTCCTGCTACAGTAGCCACTCCCCAAACTCTCTCCTGTTACAGTAGCCACGCCCCAAACTCTCTCCTGCTACAGTAGCCACACCCCTATCTCTCTCCTGTTACAGTAGCCACACCCCAAACTCTCTCCTGTTACAGTAGCCACGCCCCAAACTCTCTCCTGCTACAGTAGCCACGCCCCAAACTCTCTCCTGTTACAGGCAGCCTACAGCAGCCAAAATATCTTACATCACCATTAACAACATATTAAATCTACTCTATGGAGTCAGTGTTTTATATATATATATATATGAATTGTCTAATTAAATATATTGATCTTCGTCTCCACAGGTATTAAACCACAGCAGAAATTCACCGCCGTCATTCACGCAGTGACGCCTCTCGTGTCTCAGTCGCAACCGGTTTTCAAGTTGCTAGTGGCTGTGGCCAAATCACAGTACTGTGCCCAGGTCAGTTATTTATATGCTATTATATTATTAAATCTATTTTAGCATTATTAATCATTTTAAAATCGTTTTTTATATATACTTACAGTTTCCATTTTATTTTGAGGCTAAATTGTAGTGTTTTTATGTGCTTTTGTCATTTTTAAAAATTATGTACATTTAGCTTTCATTTATATTAATTTCAGTTTTTGTGTTTTTCGTTCAATTTTCGTTCTTCAACTTAAACTTGTTTATTTCGGTTTTATTAATTCTGGAAACAACAAATAGCTCAGCAGCTGTTGCATAAAAATCAGCCTTTTAGAAATATGCTCTACGATATTCAAGATATTATAAGAGTTATGTTTGCTATTTTGGTATCAGAGAACTCCATACTTACAGATGTTTGTGCTGCTGCTGTTTGTTTTCCCTTCGAAATGAGGTCATTTCCTTTTACAGAAGACTAACAGGATGGGATGTTGTTCCCAAAAACATTACATTCACAAAGTAGAGATATTTAACTGTGATATTATTGCGATAAAAGAACAGTTATTAAGACAGTGTTATTCAAAAGTAAGATTTTTTTTTTCTTTTGGAAAGTAATTAAATTGATCCAAATTAACAGTAAAGACTTCAGATGATTGCTGTTCTTTATGAATGCTATTATTTATCTGATAATAATCATCATATTAGAGTGATTTCTGAGGAATCATGTGACGCTGAAGACCGTAATGAGTAATGATGAGAGTAATGATGCTGAAAACTTTCCTTTTGAATAAATTACATTTTACTATATATATATATATGCTCATAGAAAACAGCTATTTTAAATTCTAATGAAATATTTCACTGTTTTTACAGTGTTTTTGATCAAATAAATGCAGTCGTGGGAATCTTACCGACCTCAAACTTTTGTACAGTGGTGTAAATGATATAACACCGTAATTAATAGTAGAAATAACCTTGTATCAGATCATTGTCCTGTGGAACTGTGACAAGCCTCTTCCGGCGAAGCACCGCTGGCCCGTGACTTCGGTTCCAGTCGTCGTGATCGAGGGCGAGAGCAAGGTGAATCTCCTCTTCAACCTGTCTTTATATTCTCATCTCATCAAATAAAGTTCCTGACACATGGTGGATGGCGTATGCTCTCTGTCTTGTTACTGGGCTGCGTTTAGGTGATGAGCAGCCGATTCCTGCCCTATGACACCATGAGAACAGATGCAGTGTTGAGTCTGGATGAAGACACTGTGCTCTCGACCACTGAGGTGAGTCTGCGGCCTAAAACATAGACGTTAGATATGCAAAGATAGTGCACTCATATGCTGCGTTCAAGTCATCTCGTATAGATCGTAATTACGAGTTGAACGCACTTGAACGCCACCACAATGTCGTAAATACCAGTGGGGAGTTCAGGATTTTCTGTAAGCCCCGATCTGTACGAGTTGGGGGCGTGTCAGTGAGAAACGTTCATTCAACGTCTGTTGACGGTAAATTTTAATTGAATTTCAATGTTTACTCATTGACATTGTAAGGCTTTTTCATTTATAAAGCAAGCTCTCTGAACAAAATATGATATCATTATAATATAAAAATTATACCTAATGATAGAGTTTACATTGGCTTCATAAGCTAATAAAAACATAAAAAGAAAAACACACCTGACGCGCATTCTTTGTTCTTCGTTTTTTTTATTAGAAGAGTTAACAAACCTTGCTGTATTTTCGTGTAATTCATTAAAAGTAGGTACACCGCCATTTTGCTCCGACGAAACTGACTTGAACGCACCTCACGTCGTAAACACGACTTCCCACCTCGTACGCACGAACTTCCCAGGAGGACTTGAACGCAGCAATAGTCCAATAAGAAGTGCAACACGCAAAATGGCAGAATAAGTCCCGCCTTCTAAATTAAAGAGCCAATTGCAGACTGGTAAAGCCATTGCATCACAGCAGTTGCCGTTAGAAGCACTTATGACTGCTCATGGGCTGAAAAATGCAGGTTTTTTGTCATAATTTGAGGATTTTAAAGAAAAACAAATGTTGTTGCCGGAGAAATGTTTCAAAAACGGCCACCAAGTGAAATGATTTGAATTAAAGGGACTTTGGCTACAACCAATCACAGGAATCAGTGAAAACATAAACAAAAATTGGCTTTGTAAGGGGATTTTATGGTACCGAATGTGATTTATGCATCATTTATCATCTGTAATACCCTGGTGTAACCACTAGATGACTGTAAATATATAAACACATTGCTGTGTATTTCCTTGTTGCTGGAAACATTGTTTTCAGATGTAATAAGGGTTTGCATTCGGGTATATATATTTAGACATTATTAAAGACTACTTTGTCGGCTTGTCTTGATTCTAAGTGCTTAGTTTTTGTGAATTTCGGGTCAAGCATTTTATTTTAGAAAGTGTTTACATTTCATTTGCTCTTATTAAATTGTAGTATCAGCATTATAGGATTGGTTCACCGGATTATTTACTCAACCCCCAAGGCCATCTTAGATGTAAATGACTCCAAATTAAATTAAAGTCCCACTGTAGTCAATCTTTTTATCCCTTAAAACTCATCTTTGATCAACAAAATGAATTTTCGTTTAAATTTTTTTTTTGATGCCTTAAAATATCTTGATTGTAACTCGACACCCTTGCCTCATTTTGTATGTGCAGTTCTATGAATATGCAAATGAGCCCCGCCTCCACTGGTTGAGGATCACACGTTGATCTGATTGTTTACAAGGTTGTTTGTGACATGTGAACTTATTGTAAAGTGTTGGGGTTAATGTTTGCATGTTCAGTAGGCCCTATGTACTCATAGTGCACTCATTCCCACAGGTGGATTTTGCCTTTACTGTTTGGCAAAGTTTCCCAGAGAGGATTGTGGGATACCCTGCGCGTAGCCATTTCTGGGACTCTAACAAGGAGCGTTGGGGATACACCTCCAAGTGGACCAATGATTACTCCATGGTGCTGACCGGAGCGGCTTTCTACCACAGGTCCGTCAAATAACTAACTTACAAACCATATCTCATAATAATTTAATACACTCTCCATGAGCAGCAACAAAATGCACGATATATCGGCCACAATTTTGGCGGAAATATGATCAGTTTTAATGTTATCGGCCTGATAAGAAAATTTGAAGAAAACTTCAGAAAAAAAATCTGAAGGAAAAAAAAAATATGAAGAAAAAAAATCTACTCTATTTTTCTGAATTAACGAGTTTATTATCTCAGAATTACAAGATTTTTTTTATGGAAAAAAGTTTCTGCTCTATTTTTCTGAATTGATGACTTAATGAAATTAGTCTTCAATTCATAAAAACAATTGTGAATTTTTATTTTCAAGAAAAATATATCTACTACTATATCTAGCCTATATAGATATCTATAAACTATCTAACTACTAAATATCTCTACTCGCAACCAAATCAATCTCAAATCACAGCCAATCAGAAGAGAGTGTGGGCGGAGTCTCTCTACTCGCAACCAAATCAATCTCAAATCACAGCCAATCAGAAGAGAGTGTGGGCGGAGTCTCTCTACTCACAACCAAATCAATCACAAATCACAGCCAATCAGAAGAGAGTGTGGGCGGAGTCTCCCTACTCTCAACCAAATCAATTACAAATCACAGCCAATCATAAGAGAGTGTGGGCGGAGTCTCTCTACTCAAAACCAAATCGATCAAAAATCACAGTCAATCAGTACAGAGTGTGGGCGGAGTCTTTCTACTCACAACCAAATCAATCACAAACCACAGCCAATCAAAAGAGAGTGTGGGCGGAGTCTCTCTACTCACAACCAAATCGATCAAAAATCACAGTCAATCAGTAGAGAGTGTGGGCGGAGTCTTTCTACTCACAACCAAATCAATAACAAATCACAGCCAATCAGGAGAGAGTGTGGGCGGGGTCTCTCTACTCACAACCAAATCAATCACAAATCACAGCCAATCAGGAGAGAGTGTGGGCGGAGTCTCTCTACTCACAACCAAATCAATCACAAACCACAGCCAATCAGAAGAGAGTGTGGGCGGAGTCTCTCTACTCACAACCAAATCGATCAAAAATCACAGTCAATCAGTAGAGAGTGTGGGCGGAGTCTTTCTAGTCACAACCAAATCAATAACAAACCACAGCCAATCAGAAGAGAGTGTGGGCGGGGTCTCTCTACTCACAACCAAATCAATCACATATCACAGCCAATCAGGAGAGAGTGTGGGCGGAGTCTCTCTACTCACAACCAAATCAATCACAAATCACAGCCAATCAGGAGAGAGTGTGGGCGGAGTCTCTCTACTCACAACCAAATCAATCACAAACCACAGCCAATCAGAAGAGAGTGTGGGCGAAGACTCTCTGCAAGCACACTGCGCTCACAACCAAATTAAATCGTACTACATAATTAATATGCACCGTCCCATCCAAATAAATAAATGAAATGACCCCATGAGAAACAGTTACCGTCCAAATAGGGCTAAATGAATCTTTTTCTAACCCAGGTATTATAACTACTTGTACACACACTACCTGCCCGGCAGCCTAAAGACTATGGTTGACCATCTCTCGAACTGTGAAGACATCCTCATGAACTTCCTGGTGTCCGCCGTCACTAAGATGCCGCCTATCAAGGTCACGCAAAAGAAACAGTACAAGGAGACGATGATGGGACAGGTACAACATCATATTTCCATCTGTTTAATGATGTGTGAGCTGAGATGCGGGTCATGTGGCCAAAATGCGGGTCATGTGACCTCTTTTCTGTACTTTCATTGATTTATATTTGAGTTCTTCTCCCCTGGCCCTGGCCTGAGATATGTTTGACCAATAAATGGATGTCTCATATCATTTTATTAAAAGTAACCCGGCACCATAGAGGGTTAAAGACAGCAGAGAAAGCAGCTAACCGACTCTCTCTCCTCCTCAGACGTCCCGGGCGTCTCGTTGGGCCGACCCGGACCACTTTGCCCAGCGGCAGACGTGCATGAACAAATTTGCCAGCTGGTTTGGCACGATGCCCCTGGTCCATTCGCAGATGAGACTGGATCCCGTTCTGTTCAAGGACCAGGTATCGATTCTGCGCAAGAAGTACAGAGACATCGAGCGACTCTGACAAATCCGGGAAACGCCTGATGAACCGGATCGACGGGGGCACGGAAAGCCTCCTGGAGGGAGCGCGTTGAGACGGGGCGGGGAGTGTTGTGTTCGAAGAAGATTTGTCTACAAATATATGGAATCAAGAAGCTCAATCGCATTGACGTTGGCATTCGGATGAGTTTCACGCGAAGCTTTCTGTCTTCCACAGCCCCTCTTGTGATGCTTAGCCAATGACAGCGGTGACCATGGCAACCTCGCCAGCCACACACACACACACACAGAGCCACATGCACTCTGAATATGGACTATTGCACATGGGTTTATCTGGATCATGTCAGATGTGGGTTTTGCTGAGGTCGCCTGTATGTTTGTTCAGTTCACCTTCCGCTGTTACGCCCCTCTTGTAAACGCAGGATGTCGTGGAGAACGTCACAGTGCCTGAACTTTCAGATGGACCGTATCTGGGAGTCCGAAGGGGTTTTCTATGAATGCATAAACACCTTGTTCATGCTGCTTGTGTTTGGATGCGGTTTAGGTGTTCCACTAATTGGCCCAAAGGTTTCGTTTTTTTCTCTGTACAAGCCTTTTTGTGTATTTTTTCCAAACTGACATAATTATACTAGCCTATTTTTTTTTTTTTGTTGTTGTTGAAGATTTACACCTTGTCCTAATCAGATGCGATACGATAAGATTTCAATTTCAAAAGACAAGCAATTTGTCTGTCCACTCCACACTAGACAAACTAAAAAAGCCAATCAGAAGAGAGTGTGGGCGGAGGCTCTCTACTCATATCCAAATCAATCAAAAACCACAGCCAATCAGAAGAGAGTGTGGGCGGAGTCTCTCTACTCACAACTAAATCAATTACAAATCACAGCCAATCAGAAGAGAGTGTGGGCGGAGTCTCTCTACTCACAACCAAATCAATTACAAATCACAGCCAATCAGAAGAGAGTGTAGGTGGAGTCTCTCTACTCACAACTAAATCAATTACAAATCACAGCCAATCAGAAGAGAGTGTGGGCGGAGTCTCTCTACTCACAACCAAATCAATTACAAATCACAGCCAATCAGAAGAGAGTGTGGGCGGAGGCTCTCTACTCACAACCAAATCAATTACAAACCACAGCCAATCAGAAGAGAGTGTGGGCAGAGTCTCTCTACTCACAACCAAATCAATTACAAATCACAGCGAGCCAATCAGAAGAGAGTGTGGGCGGAGTCTCTCTACTCACAACCAAATCAATTACAAATCACAGTCAATCAGAAGAGAGTGTGGGCGGAGTCTCTCTACTCATATCCAAATCAATTACAAATCAAAGCCAATCAGAAGAGAGTGTGGGCGGAGTCTCTCTACTCACAACCAAATCAATAAAAAATCACAGCCAATCAGAAGAGAGTGTGGGCGGAGTCTCTCTATTCACAACCAAATCAATAAAAAATCACAGCCAATCAGAAGAGAGTGTGGGCGGAGTCTCTCTGCAAACGCACTGCACTCACAACCAAATCAATCACAAATCACAGCCAATCAGAACAGATTGTGGGCGGAGTCTCTCTGCAAGCGCACTGCACTCGCAACCAAATGAACTAGTACATAATCAAATAATTATTACACCATTTAAACATTTAAAATGAAAAACATACGGAGTGACTGAAACTTTGAAAACTTAAAACGCAAAAATGTTCAAACTCATATTAACTTCCATATCAGCGGCCATGTTCACACTGCAGCTAATTCAGATGTCACTCCTCTTCTGACCGCTCTGGATTTGTGTATTTCAAAGTGACATGCATTTTACATCTCAGTTCAGACAACCGCTTTTACGAATGCAGCGACAGTGACTAAAACCCCCCAAATCTGTTTACGCGGATATTTCTGAATGTTAACGCAGCATTGTTTGCTTTCTTTAAAACCTCAAACATGATGGATGTTGTCAGTCATGAGACACCCAGTGTTGTTTCAGTGTTTACGTGGCTAGTGTGTGACTCAATGACTCGAGTCGACGTAATCTTAAAGTGATATTTAACACTAGTTTTTGCATTTACTCTCAATGTTGTAGACGGAAGAAACAAACGAGCAAATTGATGAAACAACTGACAAATGCTTGATTAGGAGAGAACGACGTCCGTTCAGAAAGAGAGATTAACTCTTTATCGCTCGTGTTCTTCTCGGATTGAATGGGTGGAGCAGAGAGGAGACGAGGCAAAAGCCAAAAAAATCATTCACTTCAGTCAGGATAGATGACATATTTAATGCTTTGTGAATGCAAACAAGGCAATAAAAATGACACGACTGCACTGAACGATCTTCGTCCTTGAAATTAAATATGGCGTCTACCCTGACTTAATGTCCCTACAATTACAAAAAAATACTTTTGTAAGAACATTCTCCCTATTGAAGGCAACAGCTAAATGTTAAACATTGGAGATGATGGGATGAACCAGATGATAGAAATGTGGTAATTAAGGTCAGAATTATTAGGAAAATATGAGCAAACCAGGCTGTGGAAAATAAATCTGCGTTGTCTATCCTTTTCATATATATAAACGTCTATAAACGCATCATTTGGAAGTGTTGGTTGTTCACGGTTGCCATTTTGATGTAGAATTGAACTCGTGTGCGTTTGCATGAATGAATCGAGTTGAAACTCTGGAAAGCGGTTCTCTGAATAAGAAAACGGTATTGTGAGGATATATCAGGATTCAATCACGCGTTTCTTTTTGTCGTCTACAAGCGAACGTGCCTTTTGTCAAGACACTTCTCTGGTTATTTTGTTATCCTTCAACAACACTGATCCTCTCTCTCTGTTTTCCTCGTCTAACACTGGAGTTTCTCTGATGGGTACACACTCACATTCCTCATTCCTGCCGGTTTATCTTTCACTCGGCCTCGTGTTCGTGTGTGTATTCAGCACACATGAAGATTCATTTTAACTCCATTTGATTCTTTGCTTCATCCTTGGATTCCTTTATTATACAGCATTACAGACAATACAATGAAAATTCAGATTTTTTTAAGAAATTAAAAAAAGCTTTTCTAAAAAAGAAATAAATGATATTTGATACATTTGTGTGTTTTTGTTTGTTATTAAATGTGAATTATCGTGTCATAGTGTTTGGTGGAGCATTTTGCATTATTGGTGGAAATGTAGCCTACTATTTCAACTCAGTTAAAAAAAAAAAAAAAGATCATGTTTTTGTGGTGAAAAACTACTTTCTCTCTCTCTCTCTTTATGTTTATTCCAAAGATAAATGCTATTGTTTGTACAGATTTTGCATTTTTTACATTTTCAAACCAACTCAGAACAAACGGCCTTAGATGATGTTAATTAACAATGGGACATAAAAATATAATAGCAATAATAATAATAATGACACAGCAAAGTTGAAATAAAAATGCAATTGGTAAATAATAACAGTGTCAATAAGAAAAAAAGATAGAGAGAGAAAGTTGGACACCACAATCAAAGCTGGAACAATGCAGTTAACATTTTATTAATACTTTATTGAAAGTAATCAACAATACAATCAAAGTAGCAAAAGTTAAAAAATAGCCACGAAAAAAACCTACAAAAAAACTACATTACCCATGATTTAGTACAGAGGCCACCAATCAGAGTCGAAACTGATCTCTCTAGCTCCGCCCACTCGCATAAAGCACTGCGAATAATAGCCTAGGTGAAACTCGAAAAACTAGAAAATGGTGCAAAAGTTCATTTATTTCAGTAATTCAACTTAAAAGGTAAAACTAATATATTATAGACTCATTGAATGAAAAGTGAGATATTTCAAGCCTTTATTTGTTATAATTTTGATTATTATGGCTAATGCTTTTAAAACACCTTCGCAGTGCTTTATGCGAGTGGGCGGAGCTAGAGAGATCTTGTGAATCCGATTGGTGGTCTCTCTTTACAGCATCATTTTAAGTTGAATAACTGAAATAAGTGAACTTTTGCACGATATTCTAATTTTTCGAGTTTCACCTGTATAAACACCGAATTACAGAGAAAAGGAAAGTGAAATGTTCTTCTGCTTCTGACTGAAATCCTCGGACTCAGATCGGCTCTTCAGTTCCTGAGGGGCGTTGCGTTGCATTAGTGTTGCTCCACTGGATACTGACGTGGAAGTTATTAATTATGCCTATTCTTTGATGCTTAAATATTGTTTGTTAAAGGATTATGGGCTGAAGCCGCACCGGGGTAAACAACGCCTTTGATTTTATTCTCCTGTAAACCAGAAGCTCAAAAACTCATAAACATCCTCTTCAAGATGCCTGTGGAAATCTGTCTGATCCGTGACGCGATCCATGCAATTTTGTAATATTGTCATACAGCGCAAAATGTCCATCACATTGTTTCAGATATTTTATTGATAGGCCTACCTAGGCATATATATATATATATATATATATATATATATATATATATATATATATATATATATATATATGACACTCATATTATGACACTTATAGTGTCATATTTATATTCATATAGCCTATAGTCGACATTTTGAAATAGGCTATAATTGTTAATTTTGACTAATATTTCTGAAAATTACCAATATCTTTATGGGTAATTCATACTGATAAAAAAGGAATCTATTTTTAAACATGTACAGTATCTATACAGTTATATTAATATTTTTTTTAAATATTAGAATAATATGATTTTTTTTAAACCAAAAATATACTAAATTAGCCTATTTTTAATTAAGTAAAATATATTAAGCTCTGCTGTTTGCAATATATTTGATTTTTGTCACCAACAAAAAATATCGTACTAATATATATATATATATATATATATATATATATATATACACACTTGCATTCATTTATTAAAAAATGTAAACATGTATAATAGCCTATGCAGATATATAAATGAATGCTGCCATTTAGAAACTGAATATGTTTGTCATTCTCACAGCGATGGTTTATTCAGACTCGACTACCGCAAATACCTCGAGCATTCATGCTCAATCTGCAATAAATCAGCATCTGTATTTCCATAAATCTCCCTGTGATCAGTTCAGAGACTTGTAAATAACCAGCAGGAGATTATCCGTGTAGAGATGCTTTTAATACAGCAGATTTACACAGAGACCCATAATAACCGGACACCAGAATCAGCAAATATCGCAGAATAATATCTAGGCCTACATACGTCACTGATATGTGATGATCACATTGCCATGTTGAGGATAGATTTACTTTATGAATACATGCACAAAACGTTTAGTTTTTAGAGGCAGTTTTAGAGTCAAATAGATGCTATTGATAATCATTTTTAAATTTTAAAAATATGTTAAACTGTTTATGACATTTTTCGCAGCATAATCCACTATGACAAAGAAAAAATAGCCTAGATTTGTTATATCTGCGAATTTATTAAAAATAAAAAAAACTGAAATTTTTAATTAAATTGCATATACACTTAAAAAAAAATAAGCTGTGAATACTTTTGCAAGTATATATGATTTGGAGTTGACAACAAACCCCTGCTGGTGCATGACATGCGTCATACATTATGTCGTATCAATGATTTTAAGTAAAGTGACAAACCTTCAAGCTTTTGAAATTATTGTCTATAGCAAAAACAAATATGTTCATTAATCACACATTGACCTTTTGTGACAACATGCCCCAGCATTCAAAACGGGATGTTATAAGATGATTTTGATCTTGTTTTAATAAAAGACTCTGATTTGGTTGTTCTTATATTTATGCAAAAACTGCTCTGAAATATTAACGCCAAATTTTATCGAGTGGAGAACGGACCGATACCTTTCGAAAGAGACCATCCTCAGCTTCGTGGGCCCCCGGGGGCCCGAGATACAGGCCCCCAAAGCCCCTCCGGAAGCGAAAAAATGCAAATATCTCGGCGAAAACTCAACGTATCCGTCGGAGACCGGGCTCGTTCGAACCGTCTCGCCGAACTGAACAAAACCATATGCGTTTCGTCATGTTTGATGGGAGTATTTGATGGAGTATTACAGTATTACACACTCACAGGCCTTCTCTGGTGAAATGAGCAGGCTCAGTCTCTGTCTCCTCCTGGTGGCTCAATCTGGGAAGTTGCTCTGTGGAAATTCTCACTAAACAAATTGTTTAAGGTTGCTTTTATGTTCACATATTATACAAAAACAGTAAACATTACAATTAACACTCAAAACATTTATTTTCATTTCAATACTGCATGTACACAACAGAAAGAGGCAAAGATCCTTCAAATGACCCTGAACATGTAAAGCAGAAATATTCATCCTCCCTAAAGCTCAATAAATGTTGAAAAGTAGTGCAAATATTCTTATATCAGTAGTCTGATCTTTATAGTTATTTAGATGTGGACAGGAAAGAGTCTGGCATCATGAACACACACACAAACACACACACACACACACACACACACAGCAAAGCGAGATGTATTAATGCGCAGGTTTGAAGTCTGTTCTCTGTTCCTCCATCCGTCCTCCCTGGACCTTCAGCAACAGAGAGAAGAAATCCTCATCGTCCATCGGCCCCGGGGCCGAGCTGCGCTGCTCCTCCAGACGGCCCTGGGCCTGCAGCGGCACACAAGATTCAGTATTATTCACTTTTTAATAATAATAATATTTAAATTATGAAAAACTTAATGAAAAACTAATTTTGTGTGTATATAGGCCTATATATATATATATATATATATATATATATATATTTTTTTTTTTACTATGATCAGTTTTTTTCATAATATCATTTTTAATAATAATCATAATAATTAATTAAATAACTTAATTGAATAAATTAAATTATAAAAAAACTATATATATATATATAGTATATAATAAAGTTTTAATCAGAATAATACTAATATAAAAAAGTTAAATATATATATATATATATATATATATATATATATATATATAGATAGATTTAAAAAATAAATGTGCGCCTGGTTATAATAATTAACTGGGCCTGCAGCCGGGAACACAATATTCATCAAATTATTATTCACTTTTGAATAATAATAATATTTAAATTATGACAAACTTTGAAAATAAATTTATATAATTTTGTGTATATATACATCTATATGTTTGTATTATGATCATTTTTTCATAATATTAATATTAATTGTATTCATCATAATAATAATTGTATAAATTAAATTATGAAAAACTATATATATATAGTGTGTGTGTATGTGTGTGTGTGGTTTTGAGAGCATTTAGACCAAATTTAAGACAGAAATTCACTTGAAATTCACTTTCATTGAATGATCTACACTGAAAAGCTATTAATATAAAAAAATGTCATCACCATATATAAATTAATAATATTAAAAGTTAAATTATATATATATATATATATATATATATATATATACATGCCTGGTAACAAAAGTAATTTAATAATAATAATAATAATAATAATTTAAAAACTTTAATAATTGTCAATTAACAAAATACATAAAAAATATTAAAATATTATTATTAACTTCTTAATAATAGATAAAAAAAATAAAACCAAAATGTTTAAACTGGAAACATGTTTTCAAAATCATGTGAACTATTTTCTTTCAAGTGTGTAGATGTGTCTTTTTATACATGAATATATACAAATCATATTTTTGGCATCATAACCCGTGTGTTAAGTGACCCATACGCATATCTCCCAGTGTTTGTGACTCGGATATCCCGGAAGCCCTCACTTGCGAGTTGACGATCATGTTGTATAAGTCCTCTTTGGGTGTTTGCGTGGGAAGCTTTCGGGTGACCTCTGTGACCTTGCAGCTGCTCTTCCTCGGTTTGGCAGCGGTCAGGACGGGCGGGGGGGCGTTGACGATTTCGACAGTGGTAAGGACGGGCGGGGGGGCGTCCAGGAGTTCGGCTCGCTGCTCGTCCAGGCGACGGCCCTGAGAGGTCGCCAGCAGGTCGAAGAACTCCTCCTTCTGCAGGGACGTCATGGAGGAGAACACCACTGTGCAGAGAGAGACCGTCAGGAGCAGGCCTGCTCATTTATTTTTTAGCATTTTTGGGAGGAGTAAAATTTACATATGTGGTTTCTGGTTTCAACCAGATGCATATCCATGTCCAGTTTCATCTGGAATGCGGCCCAGACCGAAGTGGTTTTAGCAATCGGATTCAAATCTGACTGTCTCAAATGCAGTGTTGTAGTACTCGAGAATCGGACTCGTCTCGGACTCGGTCTCGAGACCATGTTTTAATGGTCTTGGTCTTGTCATGGACTCGTGTGCATTTGGACTCGGAATTGACTCGTACTCAAACTTTTTTTTTTTAGGACTCGGACTTATTCCCGAGTCCACTCGAGTTCAATTCAAAATATGTTTCATGATTATTAATGTATGTTAATAAAATATTTCTTTAAATTGATTGACACGCCCAGTGATTGGTGATTTTCTAGTGCGCAACTGCGCATGACAAATTGTAATAAAATTACTTTTAACACCACTTACTATGTGGCCTTTTTACCCTAAACTGATCATATTTTTTAAACTCTAAGTAAATTCAGTAAAAAAAAAAAAAAAAAGGATTTCTCTAAGTAAATAAAAGTAAATTAGGTAATCAACCCTCACTGGTCTCGGTCTCGACTCGGACTCGACCGTCTCTGGTCTCGGACTCGACTCTCTATGGACTCGGTCTTGACTCGGACTCGACTCTCTCTGGTCTCGGTGTCGACTCGGACTCGAGTGAGGTGGTCTCGACTACAACACTGCTCAAATGCGTTTCGGAAGGCTGGTCTTTTCACGATCGGATAGCTATCAGATCACAGAAAACACATGAAGTGGCCAGCTGTAGACAGCCCAGACCAAAAGAACAATACTAGGCCTACAACTAGCGAACTTCTACCGGAAGTGAGTTTCTAAACGAGGAGCTGCATAACCAAGAGCTCCTTATGCACCAGAGAAACGTAGGCGCCGTCATCTTCAGAATATTGTCTTTGAACTCGCTCTGTATATATTTCTATGGCATCGCTGGTGAAGTGGATTTACTTATTGTAGAGTTAGCAAAAGTTATCATGAGCATTGTAATGTTTATCATAAGCATTGTAAAGCAGATGTCTTCACAAATGTCGACCGCGAATTTTTCACGCGCAGTTCATTCATACCTATGCAAGATCGCTGTGAAAATAAACAGACAGACCGGAAGTCAAAAGACGAGCGCAGCACTGAAAAGGGGCGGGGCTACATAAGGTCCGAGTCCGAGTGCCGGGAAGGAGTAATGAACAAGATCTAGAAGATATGATGGAGCCAAGTTGTTAAGTACTTTGTAAGTTAAAAGTTTTTTTTTTTTTTTTTTTTTTAAATTGACACGGAATTTAACTGGGAAATATGTTCAGAAATGGAAGTTTCTGGGCAAAACTCTTTGCTGCCCTAGTAGGAGAAATACTTTTAAAGTTACATCATACTTCACCTCTCTGGCTGTGGCGAGGAGTGCTGGGCTCCGAGTAGCATCTTCTTCGGTGTTCCAGGCGGAACGAACAGCGCTGGTCGTTGAGCCGTCGGCCCTCCTGTAACGCGAACAACAGCTCACACAGAGCGTCAGGGAAATCTGGAGATAACCTTTGAACCTGAGCACACGGACAACAGTTCATAGCACATCTAAACATCCACAAGATTCCAGATATGGCTTAGTTTCAGATCGCTTAGCAGAGCAATATATATATGTGTATATCCATGTTCTTACTGAATATAGTTATTCACCCATAAATTGAACTCATTTTTGCACTTTATCATGTCTGCACTATTACTTTATTAGGTACCCCATGTGGGCACACTTCTGTGTTATTATAGTAGGTACCCTATATGCTGTATGTTATATGTTTGCACCTTCCGGCCAAAGTAAATTCCTTGTATGTACAAGCATTCAGGGCGAATAAACCCATTCTGATTCTGATTCTGAAATGTCAGATTACGAAAGTACAATTATTATCACCTTTTTTAAATAATAATACTAATAATATTTAAATTATTAAAAGCTTTATATATATATATATATATATATTATTAACTAATTATTCAACACCATAATAATATAAATAATAACAATAATAATAATATAAAAGACTTTAATTATGATAATTAAAATAAAAATATGTGGGCCTTATTAAAATAAATTGTATATTTTATCAAATTAAATATATAAAAAACAAATCATAATAAAAAATAAATAAAAAAACTTTAATAATAATATTTTTTTAAATTAAATATTCATAATAATAACAATCAAAATATTTTTTTTTTAAATATGATTAACTTTTTAATAATAACAATATGAAAAACCTTATTAATTATAATGAAAATGAAATATTTAAATAATATTTAAATTATTAGCATTTTTTCATAATAATAATGTGATGATAATAAGATTACGAAAGTACAATGGATTGCATACAGTATAATGATGACTTTAAATGCTGAAAATTCAGCTTTGATCACAGGAATAAATTACACTTTACTATATATTTACATAGAAAACAACTATTTTTCATTGCAAAATTTTTTTTTTTTAAATAACTATCAAATAAATACAGCCACAGTGAGCAGGATATCCTATAAAAAAACATTAAAGAAATCTTACTGACCCCTAACGTTTGAGCAGTGTTTATACTAATACATAAAATGAATTAGCATTATCTGGTTGCATATTTCACAGCTTAAAAACTAGAAGAGACGAGCCCTTCAACAGTCCCGCCTCAAACACGTCAGCACAGGAAAAGAAACGGCATTTGTCAAGCCATGGCATCTTCTAAATGCATTTAGACACGTAATTATTATTATTATTATACAACTTTACCATTGGCTTTGCATCATGAGGGCTCAATCTGTCTTTGGGCCGCAGCTTTACTTCAGCTTGAGCATTTGGTTTTTCCTCTGGCATCTTGTTTTGTTCAGTCAATCCCTCCTCATTTTCAATATCATTCTCACAGCCCATGTGATCGTCCACCTGACGCTCTAGACTCTCCTCGATCATTTCTATTGCTTCACTCTCACTTTTCCCTACTTGGATATTGTTGTGATCATGTGAGCTTCCCTCTGTGTTTTCATCAGCCGTCCGAACCCTCAATACGCTCCTTCCTCTCTCTCCGCTGTTTATCACATCCGAAGGTTCGTCCCCTTCTTCCAGAATGAGAAGAGCTTCCAAATCCTTGTCGTCCGCTGAGGTTTCAACTTTGACCTCGGAGAAATCCATCATAACGTCTGCAGAGCTCTCCATAGAAGAAGATATGAGAACCTAAAACATGCAGATTTCTAATTTCCATAGTGTACAAGTCAAGACACATGAGCCACACTGTACGTTGGCGTCATATATATATTATCTAACGCCTGAAATATGACAACTAGATTAAATCTTTTCAATGCACATAAAATAATAATAATATCTGTACTTATTTCAGTCGGATAACTTAGATGTTGGGTGACGTTTTACGGCCCTGCTTACCTTTGAAGAGTTAAAACGAGGTCCTCTGAGCGGAATGTCAAGTAAAGCCCACATGCATCTCACCTCCGTGTACGAACATGCATTAACTCCCACATATCTCAGCCAAACTTATGAGTGCCTCTCACAAACGAATCTGAAAAGAGCTAAAAGCTGACACGATGCCTCAACAACTTCACTGTCTCACAGTCTGCTTGTCTCTTCCTGTTCCTCTCTTTTGGCCCTGATCCACCCCTATTTATTTGCCCCGTTTCATTTGCACAAGCAGATTGCCTCCTGTATAGAAATACATACACTGACTCAGCTAAACAAACTTTAGTTTGAATGCTGTGCTTTTTTATTATACTAATATTAAAGACGCTCGGCAGCTCTGAAAGACTTGCGTGTTGAAACCGGCAGTCTGTTTGTTTAACAGTCTGTGGTTTTGCAGATTTCCTGTTGACTACAAGCAAAAAGAGAAGTTGGTGGTATAGACAAGGCACAAGACAACGAATTCAGTATAGCATTTAAAAGAAGATTTTTGCACTTCATTTTGCACAGAGAAACAAGTTCTGTTTCTTCCCCATGGTAATCACACATCTCTGACCCAAAGCCTGCAGGCCATAACCTGATGACATGCAAACTATGTGTCTGCAGAAAAAGGAATCTTGTACATGTTGAGCAACTTATGCAATTAGAGCAAGGGTGAATCTCACGAGAACAGGCAAGAACAGGTTCAGGGGTCACATTTCACCCTAAAATCAAATAAAGAAATACTTTTTTTTATTATATATTTGCATTCTATATCCATCTTTTCAAGATTCTGTGTGTTCTCATATCTCTATCTCTTTATTGTTTTTACTTATTTAATTTCCATTATAGCTACTCGATTCTCATTCATGTCATTATTAATGTAATAAAATGACATTTTGCCTGGTTTCACAGACGAGACAGTCTCTGTCTAAAATGCATGTTTGAGCTGTCTTAACCCAATGCAACTTGCACTGACATATCATATCATCAGTGTCATTGTTTTGTCACACCAGTAATGTCTAGTTTGAAGGCATCTTAATAAAAGCTACTTCAAAAGTCATGATTCAACCAAGGCCTTCTGGCTAAATCAGCAGAAATTAAAGCATTATTGAAATTACGTTTCCTTTGCAATTATTAGTTTTTGGATGAAATGTGAACTGAACATTCATTCACAAAGACCTCAGATGAAATATTTGACCCATACTAAGATGTGCTTAAATAGGGTGACCATATTTTGATTACCAAAAGGACACTCGGCCCAGCAAACACGTGGGCCAACTCAAATGATACTCGAAGTTTACTCAAAGATACCTTATTAATTTCAATACATTTAAAGTAGGTTATGCCTCCTCTGTATGGATAGAAAATTGTTATATTGTTATATGAAAACAGGACAGGACAGTTGGTGACCCTAGCTTATATCTTGACTTCTGCATTTGCAAGATGTCTGTTTCCATGCAAGGCCACGTTTTTTGCCTGTCAATCGCTAGGGGACTCCAGTGTGGTGATGCATGGACATACACACTCACTCACAGTCACACACACGCCTCTAGGTTAATGTAGGCTACTGCTCAGGATGTTGCAGCCGCAGCAGCCCATCACAGGCAACGGGCCCAGCGCAAGCCGCGGTCTCGGGTTGAGCGTCCACCCGGGAATGCATCCTCTTAACCCGGTGCACCCGTCCTCACAACACCGCCCCGATGGAGACCCCGCGGGCCTCGAAGGCAGCGAAAACGGACACGACAACCGCCGAGACATTGGAGATATACTACAACAGATCATGACGATCACCGACCAAAGTTTAGACGAAGCTCAAGCAAAGTGAGTTATTTAAAAATGTTTATTTTTTTACTTAAAAGTTTAGCATTGCGCTAATGACCGCGTGAGACAAGGGTAAGCTAAAATAAATAGTGATCTATAATTTATAAAAAATAATTATAATGACATAACCCGCGTTAAGCTACACAAACACTCTTTAATTTGATATTTAAGAATGCCTAATGTATAAAAAAGTTAAACTATTATTAGCATGTGTGCTGAAGTTCACGAGCTTAGCCGCTATTGTTTACGTTTTTCTTGACTTAAAACAAACTCGTTATCTTCATTTTTGCAATACATATGTCCCAAAATAATGATTCCCGGTTAGATGTGCTAAGGTATAATCACTTATAGTTATCTTATTACTAAAGTAACTTTATATTTATTCACAAAAGCACAAATCACTGCCTGAAGCTAAGATGAAATGCTAATCTGCCAGGAGAATCGGAGTATTTAAGGATTATTCAATGCATTAAAAAGACCTTAGTTGTGTAATGCTGGGGTTGTGAAATATTTTGGTAGCAAGTGCAACACGATTTCAACCTTTATATATTTAATGCGAGTCACAATTGTAGCATGCTAACGTTAGCTAACTGACTTTTGTTTGTTGTTTTGTGACAGAAAACACGCTTTAAACTGTCATCGGATGAAACCGGCTTTATTCAGCGTCCTGTGTGAAATTAAAGAGAAAACTGGTGAGTATGTACATATATTTTGTGTTAAAATTGGTAAATGCCATAACTGAAACTTTATAATTAGTTTTAAAGTTGCCAGGGGATTCAGCACAGGCGCCATGTTCTGCAAGAACAAAGCCAGACAGTGTATATCTCATAAAAATACAACATTTCCCCTAAATAATAACTTATGGTAATTCTAGTATGTAAATATATTCTACACTCAGTCGTTTGCATGCAGTACTCAATTATTTGAATGTTAGAATTGCACTATTTACACACAATAGCATAATGATAATGGGTTTGGTTTGCAGTTCTGAAAAACCAGATAAACATTTTTTTCTCGCAAATATTCAGCAGTATCGGCTCAATACAAGCGTAATAATCTCAAACCCTGTTGTTTGTACGTGACACCACTTTCATGTGTAAGAATAGCAGTACAACGGTGATATACAAAAGCAAATAATCTTTACTCCCTCCAGTATATCAACAGAACCCCTTCTATTTGCAGAAATGTTTGCGTAATGTCTTTGGTTTGTATAAAGACTAAGTTTAGGGAATCCCATAATAGGACTAAAATGTTTACTGTGATGGTTAGTAATTAAATGGCTTCGTGCCTAATGGAGTCGTTTAATTTCCGTGGTCTGGCACGCTCCCATGGCATTGCATGCTGTGTGTCATCAATCATACAGTCCTGCCGTACTCTGTTTATTGCACAGGGCTTTCTTGAAACACTGACCTTCACATTGTAAAGTATATAAATAAAAACTCTTCCAGTTAGGGTCTGTGTAATAGTATAAAGCTGTACTTAAAGGTGGTTGCAATGTTCAAGCATTAATGACACGCGTACTGTCAAAATGACTCACCCTGCTTAATGCTTTGCCCTTGACTGAAGCACTTAACCTCGTGATTAAACTGATGATTAGAGTGTAATGGAAATTAATTCAAATTTATCTTGTATTTATCTTGACTGCCTTAACAGTATCTGACATCCTTGAAAAGGTTTTTAATATCTTATTTAATCTCTGTTTTAATTTTTAATTACCCAAAGTATAGTTTTGGCATGAATAGCTAAATGAGCTGGTTTGGCATTTAGTCAAGTTAACTTTATTTCTATTGTGCTTGATTGTTTCAAAGCTTTGCAGTGATAACAGGAAAAGGATTCAATTATGCAAACAGTTCCTTTCGGCTAAACAAACATTTGGCTAGACATCTAAAAGAAAACAGTGTCATTGTTTAGTCAAGTTATATCTTTGAAATATATATTTTATTAATGTGTTTTATAACTTAAATAATAACTATAATTTTTAACTTTTAATAATAACTATAACTTGAAAAATTTCAATATTCGATACAATTTTCAGTACCACTGCCGCATATTCCAACATACAGATAATTTGTTATTTTCTCATAAATGATTAATGTATGATTTGGGTAATTTAATTGCAGTATATCTTTATTTGAACCGTTGAACTAAATTTACATAAAAAAAAGATAAGTAAACAGTCAGTAATAAAATAAAAAACGATAGCACAAATAAATACTTTAGAATAAAGAGACAAATTAAATACACACCGCTTTAAGTTTTACAGGTGGGTCTAACAGTAGTATTTAGGTTAGAAATATCACAGAAATGAAAGAAATCAAATGTAAAATAACTTTTGCAAAAACATAAAGAGATGACATGTTTATAACTTTGTATAGCCTACAATATCTTTAATATATAAAGATATTTATATATATATTTATAGATATTTATATATATATTTACATAGCACAGATATATATATAACTCATATTTTAAAAACTTGTTTTGTTTAAAATGTATATTTATTTGCAACAGTTATTATGTTAACAGCAATAATAAGAGATTTCTGTCGTAAAAACGGCCAAAAAAAAAAAAATAGATAAAAATGGATGGACGTCACGCTGCGTTGTCATGGGAACATCCCAGGTGAAAATAATGAACAAATTACGTCGTCTTTCGTTGCTCCCTTCATTAAGAAATTTTAACAATTTTCTCTTTGTCTTTTGTTCTCTGATTAACATGGCAGACGGCAGCAGGTTTATGAGGCCACTGTCACTTTAAGAGTTTATGCACAGATCCAATAAACTGCACAGATCCAATATGCATAAATACTCACCAAGACGGACTTTTTGAGCTATTTCTGTATGTATTTGCTTTTTTAAGTGCTATAAGCCACGGAAAACAAGTCAGTTTGGTTATCGCAAGCTGTTTGAGATTCGGCTTCATGTGTATATCGCTAATGTAGATCAGTGGTGCGCACGCTTTTGGTGTGAAACCCACTATTGAGCTTCTGGCAAACATAATATGTTGAATATTAATGTATGAATTTTTTCTCTTAGGTCTTTCCATGAGAAATGCTCAGGAGGAGGAGCCTCCAGACCCACAGCTCGTGCGATTGGACAACATGCTTCTGGCCGAAGGTGTGGCCGGGCCAGAAAAAGGGGGCGGAGCCGCCGCTGCGGTTTCCGCGGCGACCAGCTCTGGCGGGATGTCACCTGACAGCTCATTGGAGCACTCCGACTATAAAAGCAAGTTGAGCCAAATTCGGAACATTTACCACACAGAGCTGGAAAAATACGAGCAGGTACATATCGCTGCCGCTGCGCTGGGTGGCCACGCCCTCAGGGAACTCTCATTGGTCCAAAATCCTGCTTCGCAAAGCTTTAAATGCCTTGGTTCCGGAAGTATTTTTCCATTCATGTTTTTCCCCATAGGGATTTCAGGCCTATTTAATGGGGGAAAGAACTACAATCCCATGATGCTTTGCGAGTGATGTAATTGATTAAAAACAATGGAGAAATGAGACATTTAAAAAATATTCAAGTAGTTTGGGAGACATTTGCAGTGCTTGATGGAAATGGGCGGGGCTATTTGCTTGTTTCGACTCTCTGATTGGTGGAGATTTCACTGCGGGATCCTGGGGAATGTAGTTTTTCATCAGTTTATAAAAAATAAATTATAATAATGCGAGTTGATGGCTTCAACAAAAGCACATTGATTAACAACTAGCCCACAACTCTCTTTAATGGTTTATTGTTTAAAATAAATGTCCTTATGAAGAAAATGAATGTGATTTTTACTTCTGGAACCCCGACTGTTGCCTTCTATTGAGCTTGAGCTTAAAATGCAACGTGATTTGTTGTGTTGTGTCAGTTTGCACAGCGTTTTCCTTTCAGCGAGGACAGAAAATGGACGTCTGATGCACTGTGACACAGAGAGGAGCTGGTTTGTAATGTCATTGCTGTCTACAGGCCTGCAGTGAGTTCACGACCCACGTGATGAACCTGCTGAGGGAGCAGTCTCGCACCCGGCCCGTGTCTCCGCGCGAGATCGAGCGCATGGTGAACATCATCCACCGCAAGTTCAGCTCCATCCAGACGCAGCTCAAGCAGAGCACCTGCGAGGCCGTCATGATCCTGCGCTCGCGCTTTCTGGACGCCAGGTGCGTTCGCCACCGCCATATCGCAGTTTTGATGTAGTGTGTATGGCTCCGTTCGGGAAAAACATGTAAAATAAAAAATTGCGATTGCAATTAAAAAAAAAAAAAAAAAAAAAAACGGTTTGCTGTGCTAGTTTGTAAGGATTCACAGTTTTGCATAAATGTTGGAATAATATATCAATATAGCTATATAATAATAATAATAAATGTAAATATAAAAATGAAATAAAAACAGAATAAGAAATATTGCTAAAATAAAAAAATAATTTATTTAAGAAATTAAGAAATAATTTAATAATAATATTATTTTACCTTACAAGAAAAAATACAGTGCTAATTTATTAATAAAATACAAATTTGAATATTCAAACATAATTTGAATACAAATTATTTAAATATAATTTAAACAAATTATTTATTAATATTATATAAATTATTTAATTAAATTTATATATATATATATATATATATATATATATATATATATTTAATTATATAATTATTTTTAATAGAAAATGTGATTGTGATTTAAAAAAGATTGCTGTGTTTTTAACGCCGCAGCGTTTGGCATAAATGTTGGATTAATATAAAAATGAAACAAAAACTCAATAAGAAATTATCATTTTATTTTACCTTACAACAGAAAAATTACAGTGCTAATATTTATTAATAAAACACAAATATTTATTATTTTAACAATTAATTTATTTATTTTTAATAGAAATTCGATTGTGATTAAAAAAAAACAGGTTTCTGTGTTTGTTTGTAGGGCTTTAGAGTTTGGCCAACATTTTGGAATTATATATCAATATAGCGTTTTAATTTTTCTTTCTTTCTTTTTTTTTTTTACTAAATAATTGCTCAATAAAAACAAAATAAGAAATAGTGCTAAAATAAAGGATTATTTAAGAAAAATTTTTACCTTACAACTTTATAAAAATATAAAAAATACTATAAATATTTAAAACAATGAATGTTTATTACTTTGTAAAACATTTTTAAATAAATTGTGATTGTGATTTAAAAAATAAATAAATCACAAAATAAATATATAGCCATTTAATAATAATTATAATAACTAAATGTAAATATAAAAAAATAAAATAAGAAATATTACTAAATAAAAAAATGGATTATTTAAAAAAAATATATAACTGTAAAATTACAATACTATTATTTATGACCTGCTCAATTTCTTAATTTTCAGACATGAAACCAAACTTTTATTTTGACAGAAACAGCAGAACATACTTTGTTAAAATGCTTTACCTTGCATTATCGCACTAATGAATCAGGATCACAAGTGTATTTTGTTTTCTGCATTTAAACAAGACAATGATCTGACGGAAACTCTTGCTTTGTCAGACGTAAGCGGCGTAACTTTAGTAAACAGGCCACGGAGGTGCTGAACGAGTACTTCTATTCCCATCTCTCCAACCCTTACCCGAGCGAGGAGGCCAAAGAGGAGCTGGCCAAGACCTGCAGCATCACCGTGTCTCAGGTAAGAGTTCGCTCGGCTCTCGCTGCGCTACGGGAGCGTCCGGCACCACGGGGGGATCAGATTCATTTTAGCTCTGTCTGAAATCCTGACAGGTGTCCAACTGGTTTGGCAACAAGAGGATTCGCTATAAGAAGAACATTGGGAAGTTCCAGGAAGAGGCCAATCTGTACGCCATGAAGACGGCTTTAGGAGCGACACAGAGCGAGGAGTCACCACACACCCCAAACTCCACTGGTTAGTTGGAGAATATATGCAATACATATTAATAAACACTAACATTTATCACCTAAATGTGTGTGTGTGTGTGTATATATATATATATATATATATACACAGGTTAAAGTTGAAAAATTAGAATATCATGCAAAAGTTCAGTAATTCAACTTAAAAACTGAAACTAATATATTATATAGACTCATTACATAAAAAAGTGAGATATTTCAAGCCTTTATTTGTTATAATAGTTTACAGATATTAAAACCTTTTCACAATATTCTAATTTTGAAATGAGGTTTTCATATCTGTAATCCATAATCGTCAACATTATAACAAATAAAAGCTTAAAATAAAGCTTATTTTATTTAATATATATATATATATATATATATATATATATATATATATATATATATCTCACTTTGCCTGTAATGTGTCTATAATGAAGTCTTGAATTACTGTAATAAATGAAGTTTTGCACCAATGTGGGAGGGAGTTTCTAGGGATTTAAAATATGCCTGGACAATATATGCAATACATATTAATAAACGGTTATCATATCTGTATATACAGTACCGGTCAAAAGTTTGGAAACATTTCCTTTTTTCGATTCTGTTTTGGAAAGAAAAACTTGTCTTATGCTTATCAAGCCTGCATTTATTTAATCAAAAATACAGAAAAAATTGTTAAATATTATTACAATTTAATTCAGCTGTTTTCTAAATGAAAATATAGTAAAGTGTAATTTATTCCTGTGATCAAAGCTGAATGTTCAGCATCATTACTCCAGTCTTCAGTGTCACATGACCCTTCAGAAATCACTCTAATATGATGATTTGATTCTCAGATGTCATCAATATTGGAAACAATTGATATATACAGTATATATGAAGAGTTCAGATGCAAAAGCCTCTAAATGCCATTTGAAATTTTCTTCTTTAATGATGATTTTTATCAAACTTGTATATTTAAGTTCAGTGATTTCACTTAAATAACAATTAATAGGTGATTATCATTGCCATTTAAGTGAAATTACTGAACTTAAATATACAAGTTTGATAAAAATCATCATTAAAGAAGAAAATTTCAAATGGCATTTAGAGGCTTTTGCATCTGAACTCTTCATATATATATATATATTATCGTTTCACCTAACTACCGCAATTTTGTTTTGTTATGATTCAGAAATGGCTTTATTTTTGTCCTTGCTTACAAACGAGTTTGTAAGGTTGACTCATTTGTAATTGACGAGTTTGCCCCTTTTGAAATGTGTCGTTATCTCTGAGCGCTGAGTGACGTGACATCCCGTTGAAGGGGAATCGCGTGAAAGCGTCGTGAAACTGAGCGCACTGAAAAGCAGAGCGAGAGATAAGACAGTAGAGATGCACGATTAATCTTTAAAAGATTGTGATCTCGATTCAAACACCACGCGATGATCTTCCATTTCATCGCTCTATTAAACCTTTGATAAAATCATATCTCAACATTACAATCTGTGTTGGCGCTGACCAGAGAGAGACTCGTCATGAAACCGCTTCTTTTCAACCTCATAGCATCACTATTTCTGTGATACGATAGTTCAAATTATCATAGAAGCACTGGGATACAAGTTAAAAGTCCTGATGTGTGCAGTAGCGATCACAATAATCAAGAGTAAATCAGGTTTTAATAGAAACTTGGCGCTTAAAATAGTCAAGTCAAGTCACATTTATTTATAAAGCGCTTTTCACAATACAGATTCTATCAAAGCAGCTTCACAGTGATAACATGAAAGTAGAACAACACAGATCAATAATATTGTTAAATATTAAATATAAAAAATATTAAATATAATATAAAATAACGCAGTTATCGATTACTTTGTGTAATCTAAAGACAATTGACACTTCAAAATGTTTTATTTGTTACTGAATCATTAATTCAAGAGAAATATATACTGTTTTCAACTAAACGAAAAACTCGTAAGCGTGTTGTGTATATAATTGCCTAACCATAAGCTTTTTCAGAAATGGTGACAAAAACGTTTAAAAAAAAACCTTCAAACTTTTATTATTTTTTGTTATTTTTTTTTTTGTTATTTTTTTTTTTTACATTTATTTATTTATTTATTTTTATTATTTTTTTTATTATTATTTTTTTATTATTATTTGAACATTATTTAAATTTTTTTTTTTTTTTTGAGTCCAGATTTTAGAATTCAATATTTTAGAAAACTTGCAGACAGCAACAGGCCTGGGGAAACACAAATTGTGGTGGGTAATTTCACAAGATTGAGTGTCTGGCCTTCGTTTTTTCCAGGCTCAGGGTCGTTCTCGCTGTCAGGGTCAGCTGACTGCTTCCTAGGAGTTCCTCCAATGAACGGAGAGCAGCCTCCGTATCACATGGGCGCTCAGGTAGGACTCTCTCAAACTCTCATTACGGCGCTTCTGCTGCTCGTCATCATGCATGTGTGTTTCTGTAACATCAGAGGGATTTAGGCGTGGATCGCTACACATACTTTCGCTCCGGTACGTGTGTGTCCTGAACAAATACAGTGTTGCTTTAACCTCTGCATGTGTGGAGAACAGGTTTGCTTGCTGGCCGATCTCATACACACGTGACGTCAGTGAGAATGTTATCCCTGAAACTCATCTTTGATCACCAAAATGACATATTTAAACCTTTTTTTCAATGAAAAATTCTTCATCATACCTTAAAATAGCTTGAATGTAACTCGACATATAATGGACTTCAATGGGGTCCAAACGGTTCAAGGTCCAAATGACGTATCTAGCGAAACGATCAGTCATTTAAAGAAAAAAAAAAAAAGTTTTATAAGCACAAATGCTTATTTATTTTTTAAATGAGCGATGGTTTCGCTTGATAAGACCCTTATTCATCGTCTGGTGTCGTTTAAAGCCCTTTGAAGCTGCATTGAAACTCTCATTTGGACCTTGAACCGTTTGGACCCCATTGAAGTCCATTATATGAATGTTTTCATCAAAAACCTTAATTTATTTTTGACTGAAGAAAGAAAGACATGGACATCTTGGGTGACATGGGGGCGAGTAAATTATCAGCAAATTTTTTTTTTTTTTTAAAAGTGAACTCCTTTAATAAAGCTCACCAAATACAGTTACAAAATGTATTGCTCATTGTTACCCTCATGTTAACTAATGAACCTTAATGTTTTTTCTCAAAACACACCGAACAAACCGCAACTTGGAAACTGGGGCACGCACCGATCAGCGATCTTTGTGTAGCGTTACACACCTAGAGGGAGTGATGTGATGTTTGTGTTTGCTTTGCCTAAATGTCCTTTTCCTCTCTCTCTCTGGTAGGACGCTCAATCACGCTTCTCAGAGAGACTCTATAGTACCAGAGAGAGCCGGGTGAGGAGCTCATGTCACGCTCGCTCGTGTCTGTGATGTGACTTACGCCGCATCACTGTGATCTGCACACGCTTATGAGCGCTTTGTTGATTATAATCCAGGCCTTTTCACATCAAGAGCCATGTGTGACGCGCCACATGATTATTTTCATGAGAAACATTCACACAAATGAACAAAGATGCATTGCACATATTTGGGCTTGCATATAAAATACAACCTATTTTTGAGAAAGAATCCAGAGAAATGATATTTAAATGTAAATAATGATCTTATTATGCAGATTTCACTCGCTTTTTTAAAATGGAATATATCTTGGTATAATGATAAAATAGCAGGGTTATTATTGTTTACTAAAACTTTTGAAATATTTAATTTTTTGTAAAATAAAATATAAATATTAGTTAAAAAAACTTAAAAAAAACCCCAAAAATTAGGAATGAATAAACTGATTAAACCTAAATCGCAATATTTTAATAATTTAAATATTTATAATTTAAAATATTTCAATATTTATAAGTAATAAAATGGCAAAAGCACACATTTGAAAAATTAAACTAAAATTAACATGAAAAATACAAATATAAAAATAAAAGCTAAAATCACACTGAATCGCAATATTTTAATAATTTAAATATTTATAATTTAAAATATTTAAATATTTATAAGTAATAAAATGGCAAAAGCACACATTTGAAAAATTAAACTAAAATTAACATGAAAAATAAAAGCTAAAATCACACTGAATAGTAGTGGTCTATTATTCGAATCCACTGTGAGACACCAATGTGTCCCTGAGCAAGACACTTAACCCCTCGTTGCTCCAGAGGCGTGCGACCTCTGACATATATAGCAATTGTAAGTCGCTTTTAATAAAATAAAAGCGTCAGTTAAATGAATAAATGTAAATGAGATTCAATCTCAACTTCCGTTTCATGGCGACTTTAAGTAAATAACGATGCCCGATTGTTTCTCATGCACCGTTCCCACTGCGAATAGGCCTGTGGTGTGTGTGTGTGTTGAGAGATGAGATGACACTGGTTGTTTGGTGTTTCTCCAGACTAACGGGAGCTGGCAGGAGCCGAACACGCCGCCGTCCGCCGCTTCACCCGGGAGCGATCACTCCGACAACTCCGACTGAGGAGCCGCTCGCTCCACACGACGGCGGTTTTAGCCTGTTTTTTTTTTTTTTTTTACTTTTATTTTTATTGGACTTCACATTGAGCCTCATTCATGAAACACAAGCATAGCTTTTCAGTGTAGATCATTCATAAAACTATTCTAACGGAAATTGTCGTGTTACCGTACATTCAATGCAATAATTTACAGAAGAATGAGCCTCGTTTGTTAAACATGAGTAGAGTGAATTTCTATGTCCTAAATTCGGTCTAAACGCTCTCAAAACCACATGAGATATAGATATACATACACACACACATTAGTGGCCAAAATGATGTCCGAACTAGAAAAATTTACATTTTCACCCTTTATTTAAATATAGAAGCATATTGTGTAGTTGTACTTGGAGTCGGATGTTTTATTTGTGATGATGACACAATGAATGAATCATGAAAACTTGTGCCGACGACATTATGTTTGTCCTGGGCCGGGTTTCCCGATAACGATGTATCTTAAGAGCGCTCTCTACGTGCAAGGTTACGAACGCTCGCAGCAATTCCACGTGCGTTTCCCAAAAATTCACTTAAAGCAGAACTCCGGCGAACAATGAACCTTTGGTCTAATAAAACATCGGTACCTAGTCGACCGTTCTCTGAGATTTGTTTTCATGATAATCGAATGTAAAGAGTTTTATCTCTAAAAACTGTTTAGCGTATAATGCTAGTAATGGGGGCATTGAGTAAGTAAAAAGAAATCGCTAGTTTATACCACTAACAAGGCTCAAAATAGCCCCACACTAACACAGAAACATAATGAGTGTCCATACATGCAAAACGAAGCGTTGAGAACTTTGTAAGTGTACAGACCGTTTAATAAGAAGATATTTTATGAAGACAGTCCACTTCGAGTATACAGACAGGAGCCATCTTAAAAAATAGTCTCGGAAACGCAGCCCAGGCCTGTCGTACAAAGAAATTATGAACAAGTGCAAAAACAACTAAATATATTAATAATATTAATGTTGTAGTCAATGTATGCTTTTTGTTTTTGAATGCATTAATTTTTTTTTGCATTGTAAAATACAACCTGTGCCTTTTTTGCCAAATAGTTTTCTCAGATAAAAACATTACGTTTAAGTCTTCGTTCTTCGCTCATATTTAAAAAATCTAAAATATGTTCCTCGTATTTTGATGTTTAAGCAACTCGTGCAGTCATTAAAACCAAATATCTACTTCGGACTTTGCTTTTGCACACTACGGTATATTTGTCTCTCTGTGTGTGTGTGTGTGTGTGTGTGTGTGTTTATACACATACATACATGCATGCATACATTTACATGTGAAACTTGTAAAATTAGAATATGGTGCAAAAGTTCATTTATTTCAGTAATTCAACTTAAAAGGAGAAACTAATATATAATATAGACTCATCACATGCAAAGTGAGATATTTCAAGCCTTTATTTGTTATAATAGTTTACAGATATGAAAACCTTTTCACAATATTCTAATTTTGAATTTGGGGTTTTCATAAGCTATATAAGTCTATATATTAGTTTCACCTTTTAAGTTGAATTACTGAAATAAATGAACTTTTGCACCATATTCTAATTTTGGGAGTTGTACCTGTATATTTTCAGCTTCTGTTTCATGAATAAGGCCGTTCTCCGTTTGGATGAATGAGTGTGTTTGTCAGAGACACGAGCTGGGTGAGATCATGGCTTTTATTTTTTATTTTTACATTTCCACTACATCACAACTTCAACTATTTGTTACTGCAATGTTTGGGTGTTGAAAGGGGAACTTTTTAACCTGCATTAAGACTGCTTTCATTATAGCTATATTATTATTATTATTAATTATTATCACTGCTCTATATTGTTTATTCAAAGCTCAGATAGAATTGGCTTGGGTGAAGGGGGCAATAGAGAAAAATCCAAAGATTGTTGTTTTTGTGCGTGTGTGTGTGTGTGTGTGTATTTCTCTTTTTTACTGGGTTTGTGTATGTATCAATAATATGAATGAGGTGTGTTTGCTGTCTTTATTTAGCGTTTGAATGAGTATATCAACAGTGCTGTCTTTCTCTGTACAGTGAAACACCTGTATTCTCTACCTCTTTTACAATAAAGACTGTCTGTGTATACACATTCATCTCTGACAAATGAAGAGTGTTTTAATAAGCAGATTATCAGTTATATATGGAAGCTTGTTTCCACCACTGAATAAAAATAAAATAATTGCTACTTTTTATCATAATTGCGAGATATAAAGTCGCAATTCTGAGAAATAAAGTCGCAAGTGCGAGATATAAAGTCGCAATTCTGAGAAATAAAGTCGCAATTCTGAGAAATAAAGTCGCAAGTGCGAGATATAAAGTCGCAATTCTGAGAAATAAAGTCGCAATTCTGAGAAATAAAGTCGCAAGTGTGAGATATAAAGTCGCAATTCTGAGAAATAAAGTCGCAATTCTGAGAAATAAAGTTGCAATTGCGAGATAGAAAGTCGCAATTCTAAATAGTCGCAATTGCGAGATATATCTGCGACTATTATTTCTATATCGACTTTATTTCTCAGAATTGCGATTTATATCTCGCAATTGCGACTATTTCTCAGAATTGCGACTTTCTATTAGAATTGCGACTTATCTCGCAATTGCAACTTTCTATAGAAAGTCGCAATTCTGAGAAATAGTCACAATTGCAAGATATAAATCGCAATTCTGAGAAATAAAGTCGCAAGTGCAAGATATAAAGTCACAATTCTGAGAAATAAAGTCGCAATTGCAAGATATAAAGTCGCAAATCTGAGAAATAGTCGCAATTGTGAGATAGAAAGTCGCAATTCTGAGAAATAAAGTCGCAATTGCGAGATAGAAAGTCGCAGTTCTGAGAAATAGTCGCAATTCCGAGATTTAAAGTCGCAATTCTGAGAAATAGTCGCAATTGTGAGATACAAAGTCGCAATTCTTAGAAATAGTCGCAATTCTGAGAAATAGTCGCAATTGCGAGATATAAAGTAACAATTCTGAGAAATAAATTTGCAAGTGCGAGATATAAAGTCGTAATTCTGAGAAATAGTCGCAATTCTGAGATACAAAGTCGCAATTCTGAGAAATAAAGTCGCAATTGTGAGATACAAAGTCGCAATTCTGAGAAATAGTCGCAATTGCAAGATATAAATCGCAATTCTGAGAAATAAAGTCGCAATTGCAAGATATGAAGTCGCAAATCTGAGAAATAAAGTCGCAATTGCGAGATATAAAGTCGCAATTCTGAGAAATAAAGTCGCAATTGCGAGATATGAAGTCGCAAATCTGAGAAAGTCACAATTGCAAGATATAAAGTTGCAATTCTGAGAAATAAAGTCGCAATTGCGAGATATAAATTCGCAAATCTGAGAAATAAAGTTGCAATTGCGAGATATAAAGTCGCAATTCTGAGAAATAAAGTCGCAATTGCGAGATATAAAGTCACAATTCTGAGAAATAAAGTCGCAATTGCGAGATATAAAGTCACAATTCTGAGAAATAAAGTCGCAATTGCGAGATATAAAAGTCGCAATTCTGAGAAATAAAGTCGCAATTGTGAGAAAAAGACAGAATTGAGACTTTTTATCTCACAATTCTGTTTTTTTTTTCTCACAATTGCGAGTTTACATCTCGAAATTCTGACATTTTCTCAGAATTGAATACATTCTTCAATTGTGAGTTATCAGGCCAAATCTAAGGGAAACAAAAGACTAACTTTTTTCCCCTTTGATTGATATAAATTGCAACTTTATATCAATCAATTCTGACTTGATATCTCGCAATTCTAACTCGGATATAAAAAGTCGCGATTACCTTTTTTGTTTTTCATTCTGTGGCAGAAACAAGCTTCCATAGCTTGTTAACTGTACATAATAGGGTAAATTCCATAAAATCTGTGAACATTTTAAAGTTAAATCAAAAGAAATAAGTTTATTACTAAGACTTCATTAGGATAGACATAACATTATGATTATATTATTTTCGTGACTTAAAACAATGTTTTATTACAGCAAAGTAAATCCTAAATTACATAAAGTAAAACATTACAGTCATGTGGAAGAAAATGTGCCTTATTGTCCTGAAAATAATGTCAATTAAATCTTAATAAAAAAAAAAAAAATCTTACTAGATTTATTTTCTTCATACATATTCCAATTGCTTTTGATTTTGGCGGTTTTCCTGAGATTCGGCCGATAATTTTCCAGAAGCAGATTATTGTAGTCTGTAAAATGATTTGACGTATTGTAAACAACAGTTACGTACATTTCCCAAACGTCATGTCTCACATGCTGCTCTGGATGAAGACGCCGGACTCATTGTTGACCCTCTCGCTGTGGATTTTGGAGACGCAGTTCCTCATATTGTCCCTCTCAGAGTCCGTCTGAGGCGAGCCGAGGGCGTTCTCTGTGGGTTTGCTCTCTGATTGGCTGGTTACTTCTCTCGGGTGGGGCACGATCACGATTTCGACGCGCTCATTGGCTGGCACAGCTACGGGCGCCTCTGATTGGTTACCACTGGAGCGGCGGTTCAGTGCATGCTGGGTACAGGAGAACGAACGTTGTCGGGGCGCTGGTTGTGGAGACAGGAAGTGAGGTGTTGCTGCCCGAGTAACATCCTGTAACATTTCCCTCTCCTCATCCTCCGCCTCTGATGTCACTTCCTGGAGAGTACTGATAGGCCGAGATGGGCGGCCAAGAATCCTGGGACTGACCAATGCTGTTGCTGATTGGTTGGAGGCTGGACGCCAGTTCTGGGGGGAGGAGCCCATCTGCCAATCACTGTTGAGAATGAAACATGAGAACACGCCAGCCATGAGAACTGATCTCAGAATGACCCCCTTCAGGTGTGTGTGTGTGAGTTTGTCGTATTTGTCGAATTGTCGTAACTTACGTGGGTGGCGGTGTTGACATCGCCCTGTGACCTATGACCCCTGAGAACGAGGCACTTCTCCCGGGCAGACATGGCGGCGACGCGACCCACGGAGAGAAGGCGTACGTGCGATCGTCCCACAGCAGCTCAGTGGAGGGGTCCAGAGGCACCGGGGCCCTGTGAACTCTGTGGGCCAATAGGAGCTCGAGGACATGATGATGTAATCCCTCTCGAGCCACATCCAGTGGCCGACGCCCCTTGCTGTCACACAGATCCTGATTGGCCCCGTTGAGCAGCAGGAATCGTGCGGTGTCATAGCAACCGTGGAGAGCCGAGAGAAACAAAGCCGTTTCACCCTATAGGAAAAGATGGACGTTTTATTTCATTAATATTGATGGAATCTATCTATCCGTCTATCTATCCATCTATCTATCTATCTATCTATCTATCTATCTATCTATCTATCTATCTATCTATCTATCTATCTATCTATCTATCTATCTATCTATCTATCTATCCGTCTATCTATCCGTCTATCTATCCATCTATCTATCTATCTATCTATCTATCTATCTATCTATCTATCTATCTATCTATCTATCTATCTATCCATCTATCCATCTATCCATCTATCTATCTATCTATCTATCTATGTTTCTATCTATCTA